AGGAACAGTTGCTCTATGCATGTGCCGAGTTTCAAAATTGTTCGTCACTCGATGGCCGAGATCTTAGGGGGGGGGGGGGCAGAATCCGCCCCCGCCCCGGCTGAGAGATGGTCAAAATAACCCGGCCCCTTTAGGGTTAACTGGATGTCGATATTAAACCTACATTCAGGCACATCCCCCTCCCCCTCTAAAAAAAATCGGCTTGCCGACGCTTGGCAATCACGCGCTTGCGTATCTCGCCGCAAGGTTGACCTCTTTGCACTATGCGGTGCCGCTTTTCTCAACACTCAGCCTGCACGAAACCGTCCAAGTTTTGCTTTTAAATTATTAGTGTAAAAACAATTGCCTCATAGACACGCTTTAGATGAAACCTTAAAGAGCCCATTTAACCTTTCACAACCGGGAAAAGTTTCGCCTTTAAGATCACGATGTTGCAATTACAAATTAGATTGCAATTGACTATCCATAAATAAAGGGATACTGCAGTCTGACATTAGGAACTATTATAGTTGTATGCAAGGATGGGTTTGGCATTGTGATTGAACAAAAAAAACAATCACAAATTATTTGTGGTCGTGGTATGGTGCCTAGAATTGAATAGGCAAACTGCTTTTGTTTGGTTCTAGGTCCATTCTATACACTTTCCAAATATACAAATAATTTTAGTGGACAACCCATTATTTTGTTTTATTCAAATGATGATTAAGCGCAGTTTAATCAGGTTTATGGACGTGCGGACACCTCGAACTTTTTTGAGAAGATCCCTTATCTCGTTGTTTACGATTATGTCACACGCTGAACGCGTGAATAACTGGCGGTAATTGGTGGAAAGTTCTTCCGTGTACAAGTGATTAGCACGCAATAGTTTGGCGTAGCGTCATTCTCGATTAAACCTCTGACCGGAGAAAAGGCAACAGTTTTGCCCATTGCATTTCTGAATACCATTTCGAGTTTATTTCAGCGGTTCCAAAACATCGTTTGTACTGAGAATTGATATAATAAACATTGGAGGAACAATCATGCTTTTAGGAATGCAGACTTTTTATCCAGAAGCAAAAGTATATTAAATACCTTTTTATTGCCATACAATACACCACGTATTCAGATTTTTTTCCCATGAGTTCTTTCCAATACATAGGCCTAGTGTGCTCAAAATTAGTACGGGTTTGGATGATAAAAAGTATTGTAAAGATGCGTTCCCCGCGCTACTTTTTTCGAGTTTCACCTCGAAAAATAAAATTGTTTTCTTCTCTTTTTCTCCCTAGCAATATAAAAAATATTAAATTTTAAATGACACATCGAATGAAAGAAATCCACCCGCTCTCAGTTATTGAATTATTTCTTTACAACATTTGAATTATTAACTGCCGGATAATAAATCATTGGTGCGCAAAATAAAAGCCCCTTTCAGTGGGTTGCGGACGCCCAAAACTTGGAATAAACAATTTTTTGGAGATAAAACAAAACATTAAAATTAATTAAATTAAAAACACAAACAAACATTTCTTTTAAGAGCACGGGGTATGCAACTTTAACATGGCAAAGAAAGAAATCTTCTACTTGTTCAGTACTCAACGACCATGGTGTGTAGGATAACATAACATTGATGTATTTGATTATTACAATTTTTCTGATCATAATATGAAACCATAATTGGTTGGTAAGCTTGGAGCTTCTAGGGTTAACGACAGCAAAACACCGTATAAAATCGTCTGTTCTAATTTTCGTTCATTTTTTGAGATAAAATAGGGATTGTCTTTCAGAAACAATTAGATATTAATATTTGCAAAAAACCTCCACCAATGCATTAATAAAAGTGCACTGTTATCGTACATTATTAAGCGGTCGCATGAGGCAAAGTGATGACTTTAAAATAGCTTACAAACAAAACCTCACAAACGCCAACCTATACGATAATATTTTGTTGTGATATAATTATCTAATTTACTAAAACAATTAAAGATATCCATATGTTTCTTAAATTGTACTTAAATGCCTCATCTCCGAAAAGCGTGCAATATGATCGTCCATTATATATGATATAAGTAAAATCATTTGTAATTTGCAAAAGGCCCTGTTATTCATAATCGTAGCTTGTGACAAACACCTGTAATAACAATTGACAACTGTACGTTTTCTAACAATCATTCATTTCAGTAAAATAGTTACACACTGTGAAAACTAAATATTCCCATAAACGTCGTGTACACGGAGCAGAATTACCATTCGTACATATGCATAATTAATTCGCCATAATTCCAAAACCATTTGACCTATAGTCATAAAATTTCTTGGGTTTGTTCATGATGAGTTGCTCTATGCATGTCACGATTTTCGAAAATGTTCGTCACTCGATGGCTGAGATCTTGGGGGGAAGGGGGCGGAATCCGCCCCCCCCCCCTCCCCCGGCTGAGTGATGGTCAAAATAACCCGGCCCTGTTCGGGTTAAATCTGTTTCTATCCATTTACCCGTGGAACCTATAGGAATACGAATAATTATTTTGTTCATTAAAAAAATTCAAAACAAATGTTATCTTTCCACCTAAACTTACTTTTCTCCTAATACCAATCTTCTCTTTACAAGAGTAAGTATCTGCATTTCAATCGATATTAACAAAATAGAATAATAATAATAATAATAATCAGGGCACTCATATAGCGTTCTTACACAAACTGGTATCACAGCGCTTTACACAAGAAAACAATTAAAGTGTATAATACAAAATGATGACAGGAAATAAAAACAACCTATGGGGCAATTAAGTCTGGAAGAGATGTGTTTTCAGCAATGTTTTGAAATCAGTGAGGGAAGTGGCATGACAGATTTCATAAGGAAGATTATTCCAGAGGTTTGGAGCAGCTGCATAAAAACCTTTTTCTGAGATTGAAGAATGAGTTTTGGGTTTAATGAGGATTCTGGTATCGGAACTGGAACGCAGGGTACGATTCGGCTGGTATGGGGTGATGAGTTCAGTGAGATAAGACGAAGCACCGTAACTCAAACAATTATAAGTGAATAAACATTGGGCAATAAAACACAAGGTTCTAAGTTAACACAGTCGCTAATTAGATTGATATTATGTTAAAACAAACTACGTAAAAATCAATAATCTGAGCATACTATCACCTGTTTAGTTCTAAAAAACCATGGTGAGTTGGATAATCCGAGGTCAAAATACAAAGTTCTAAGTAAACATAGTCGCTAATGACATTGATATGTTAAAACAAACTATGTAACAATCCATTATCTGGGTATAGTATCACTCGTTCAGTTCTTAAAAAGCATGGCGTGTAGCAAAATCTAAGTTAAAATACAAAGTTCTTAGTCATCACAGTCACTAATTACATTGATTTGATGAAACAAAATAATGATATGGGTACACTATAACCTGTTCAGTTCTCAAAAACCATGGTGTGTAGGATAATTCAAGGTTAAAATACAAAGCTCTAAATTAACTATAAAACAAAATATGTAACAATCCATTATCTGGGTATATTATCACTCGTTCAGCTCTCAAAAACCATCGTGTGTTGTTGACACAATTGCTAATTACATTGATATGTTAAAACAAATTATGTAACAATTCATTATCTCGGCATACAATCACTCGTTCAGTTCTCAAAAAGCATGGTGTGTAGCATAATCTAAGGTTAAAATACAAAGTTCTTAGTCAACACAGTCGCTAACTACATTGATTTGTTAAAACAAACTATGTAACAATCCATTATCTGGGTATCACTCCCTCAGTTCAGTTCTTAAAAAGCATGGTGTGTAGCATAATTCGAGGGTAAAATACAAAGTTCTCTGTTAACATAGTCGCTAATTACATTGATATTATGTTAAAACAAACTATGTAAAAATCAATAATCTGGGTATACTATCACTCGTTCAATTCTCAAACAGAATGGTGTGTAGCATTATCCAAGGTTAAAATACAAAGTTCTTAGTCAACACAGTCGCTAACTACATTGATTTGTTAAAAACAACATATGTAACAATCCATTATCTGAGCATACTATCACCTGTTTAGTTCTCAAAAACCATGGTGAGTTGGATAATCCGAGGTTAAAATACAAAGTTCTAAGTAAACGTAGTCGCTAATGACATTGATATGTTAAAACAAACTATGTAACAATCCATTATCTGGGTATATTATCACTCGTTCAGTTCTTAAAAAGCATGGTGTGTAGCAAAAGCCAAGTTAAAATACAAAGTTCTTAGTCATCACAGTCGATAATTACATTGATTTGATGAAACAAAATAATGATATGGGTACACTATAACCTGTTCAGTTCTCAAAAACCATGGTGTGTAGTATAATTCGAGGTTAAAATACAAAGCTCTAAATAAACTTAGTCGTTAATTACATTGATATGTTAAAACAAAATATGTAACAATCCATTATCTAGGTATATTATCACTCGTTCAGCTCTCAAAAACCATCGTGTGTTGTTGACACAATCGCTAATTACATTGATATGTTAAAACAAATTATGTAACAATTCATTATCTGGGCATACAATCACTCGTTCAGTTCTCAAAAACCATGGTGTGTGGGATAATCTGAGCTTAAAATACAAAGTTCTAAGTTAACATATTCGCTATTTACATTGATATTATGTTAAAACAAACTATGTAAAAATCAATAATCTGGGTATGCTATCACTCGTTCAGTTCTCAAAAAGCATGGTGTGTAGCATAATCCAAGGTTAAAAAATAAAAAGTTCTTAGTCAACGCAGTCGCTAACTACATTGATTTGTCAAAACAAACTATGTAACAATCCATTATCTGGGTATCACTCCCTCAGTTCAGTTCTTAAAAGGCATGGTGTGTAGCATAATCCGAGGGTAAAATACAAAGTTCTCTGTTAACATTGTCGCTAATTACATCGATATGTTAAAACAAAATATGTAACAATCCATTATCTCGGTATACCATCTATCGTTCAGTTCTCAAAAACCATAGTGTGTAGTTAACACATGCCATGTTTTTGTTCATCTTGGAAATGTTTATTTCAATTAAAGCAGGAAAAATACAATCGGTGAAGGGGTGTGGAATGTGTACTGAAAGCACGGCATCCTGTTTAATGCAGAACTGAATGGAATAGTATATTTTTGAGTAGTTCAGTTAATGCCTACTTTCTTGCACGTAAGACATATTTCCTTCACAATCTCTGCCGTGTTTGTCAGAATGTACATATGCCTCCCGGGCAAGGTGATCTTCTTAAAGTTATGCTTCTTGGACCTCTCCAACTCCCAGCCGTCCAGGAGTTCAGGTTGAACAAAACCGTCTTGTTTCCCACCAACAGCTGTGATGTCACATGGCAACGGCTTCTGGTGTTTGCCATCGTAGCTTTTTACCATTTGAATGGCGGCCTCAATGCAAGGTAACAACCGTCTCATGAGGGCGGTATTGAAGAAGGCTCTATCATCCATGAAACTGAACTTCACTTGTTCCATCTTTGCTAATTTTGCAAAGAGCTTTGGGTGGTTCTCCAGGGTTTTCCTCAACCTTTCAAAGGTTTCTGGTGAGATGTTAAGCTCTTCTTGATGAGGATAAGGTGTTGTCGGTGCGTACCAAGCACTGACGAACAGGTGGCGGAGGCAGAAGCTTTCTTCCTTCAGAAGGAGATGAGAAACTTCGAATGCAATCAGGCTTCCCATGCTGTGACCGAAAAATGCACAGGGAAAGCCTAATATATGTGGTTTGAGCTCATCGTGGACAAGCCGTGCAATATCTTTCATGTCTTTTAGAGGTTGCTCGCTTTCACGCCCTTCCCAACCTGGCAGCTGTATCATCAGAACTTGGATTCCGAATGGAAGTAGATGCTGTATCCATTGTGAAAACAACGAAGGTCCTGCGCCGTTGGAGGGAAAACACACAAGTTTTACTCCCAACGATTTTGGTACCTCACCCTCGACGATAACATTTTTCTTTTTGGAGACAAACGAGACTTCATTGTTGAAACCTGTTGGGCTGGTTGAATCTGCCTTCGCCAGTATTTGTCTTGCGATGTTTTTCGAAAGCTGCTGGATAGTGTTCTTGTCGTTTAGTAGATCCACAGCTCCCACCGTGACCTCAAACTGCTGGCTGATCATCTGGCTGACCTCTGAAGCCATGAGGGAATCCACACCAAGGGCAATGGGAGAGGCATCTTTCGGAGGTTCATCAGACAATCCAAGGTGCTCACTGAGAAGCTTGGCCAAAGTCTTGATAACAACCTCTCTGGCTTTGGCGAACGGAAGCTTCAAAATTGACTGCAGCAGGGTATCATTCGTGGCAGTAAGATACACATCTCTGTCTTGAAACAACTCCTTCATCAAGGAAATGGTTCCATGCTTTTCTCTAAAGTGTTGCATCATGAGACCACGATGCGTCGCTGCATATAACTTCCGATTAAATAAACCTGAGATACCCAGCTGTGATTGACGAACCGACAAAGCACAACCGATCACACCAAGAGCTTCCTCAGGACTCATGCTTTCTACGCCCGTTTTCTCCCACATTTGAACAAGATCGTGGCGAACTGCAAACCCAACACCATTTATCAGACCAAGCTGAACTGCCGTCGCTGGTAAATTACGCCTGAGTCGATACTGGGCGAGGGCGTTTAAGAAGACATTGGATGCACAGTAACTGGCTTGTCCCGCATTGCCCATCAGAGACACGATGGAAGAGGTCATGATGAAATGATCGAGTTTGATGCCAAGCTTAAGCGTCAGCTGGTGTAAGAGAAGTGCCCCATAAGCCTTGGGAGCCATGACACTGTTCCAAGACTCTGCTGTGATATTTTGGATGAATCCATCACTGAAGACAGCGGCGCAGTGGAATATACCTTTTAAAGCCGGCCACTGGTCATCCTTCATTCCCTGCAGTGCCTTTTCAACGTCTGTGGCGTTAGAAACATCCAACTGAATGTGTCGTACTGTGGCACCGACCTCTTCTCCTTTATGAATTACCACTTGTAATTCATCATTTATCACCCCTCTCGAACCAGTGTAGATATATCGAGCTCCTCTTTTGATCAGCCACTCTAGAAGTCTGAGACCAAACCCCTTGGTCCCTCCTGTGATGAGGTAGGCCGATTCTCCATCAGCAACGAAACCATCGTTCTCAAGAGAAGGTGGCAACATAAGCTCCGCTGCTCCTACCTCGATGACCTCAGATTTAGGAATGTCAGCATTTTGTGCAAGCAGAGAAGACATTTCCTTAACATTGTAGGTCTTACATGTCAGGTGACTACCTTCCACATTTGGGTCAAACATTTCCCAGAGATTCGACAGAGTAGCTGATATCTCGCCACTCGATAATCCATCAACTGCTGACTGGAGATCAGTATTGAAGGTAACAATCTTCATCTTTGAAGGAAGCATAGGTAGTCTTGCATCTTGTCTCGGTTTCTGCATTATCACAACAGTGGCGTTTCTTCTCAACTTTGGCAACAACGACTGCACTGTGCGACCGAAGGATGGCGATCTGCAAGACAAAAAAAGTGCATCAACTGAGGCATCATCTATCTCACTGAGGCACCTCACATGTATCTCTGTCTTAGTTTCCGCAAGATCATCACGGCCATCAGATAAAAGGACCACTTCGGCTCCCAATTTTGTTGACAGATGAATCATTGCGATGCCACAACTATCGAGAGGGTCGAACTTGAAGACGAGACGCATGCCTGCAGATATTTGAAACGCCTCATTGAAGAAGACGGCGGTTGGGAAATAATCATTCACGATACTGACAGCCTCTTCAGGGGTGAGATGGGAAGGTACTACATCCTGTGACAAAGTGGGCATATATGATTTGACTTTACAAGAAGTAAGACCTAAGTACGTTTCACAGACATCGTTTGATTCCGATGGGTCGACTCTACCAGCGTACACGAATGTGTTTGGTCCTTCATGGCTGTCCCCTTCCAACTTCGGCCTGTTACAAACACTGAAAGCTTCGACCTTCACGTGGACAGTGTCTGGATTTGTGTTATCAAACTTCTCGGAAGGCGTTTTCTGAAAGAAGACACGATTACGATCAGACACTTTTTGCTCGCCAACTGACCAGAACCTTGTTGGCACAACTCCAGAAGCTTTGGAGATATTTTCCATTTTCAAGCGAGGTGAACGGAGATCCCATATTAGAACCCGATCGTCTTGGTTTGTGGAGTTTGATGTCCTTACGGCGATTACATTTTCGTTTTTTAGATAATGATCTTCCTTGTACATTATTTCCCGAGCAATCTTTGCGCACTCAAGACTACTTGCGTTCATCGGCAGGTCTACACCAAGCACTCTAATTGAAGGCTCTTCATGACCGACTGTAACTGCAATGGTATTCAGGATCGCTGCAAATGGGTTGACGTCGTCCTCTTCTCTGGCACGTTGCGCACCCTTTGTGAAGAGAATCACCTTCAAGTTGTTCTTTATCCCCTCATCAAGTATGGCCTTTAGGACGGAGTAGCAAAACAACATGCCTTTTTGGCACTCCTCAAACTCATCCCTTGACATGACCGTTCCCGAATTCAAATGGACATCATAAACCTCTGTTTTCATGATGATCACAAGCGTATCAGATTCATTATTGTCTGAAACGATGGTAAACGCCTGTTGCACAGCATCAGTCTGTGTTGTGTCAACGACTGTAACATCCCAGGCCTGTACGTTCACCAGCGAATCAACAAATGATGTACTTACTTCGGTATCATCCGGGAATAAGACCACCTTCTTTTTAGTCAATGGGAATTCCGACGGTCTGTTTGTAACAACTACTGACCCAACATTTTCCGATGATAGACTCCACACCTGGGGCTCCATCTTGTCAGTTTGAATTGTTTCAAACACAAGTTCCCTAACTGAACAGAATACTTTCTTCGTGTCTGCATCAGCCACATCAATATCACAAAAACGCTGGTCCTTTCCACCAATCTTCATGTGGATACAAACATGCGGTGAGGTTGGAGCAGAGATAGTGAACGTCTTGATGCTTCTTGGAACCCTATACATAGGTTGAAGTGCTTTTCCAGTAGCCTCAATTTCTGCTTCTGTCGCTAATAACAGAAGTACGGCAAAGGCTTGCAAGAAACTATCCATAAAAGCTGGATGGTAAACGTAACGATGAAATTCTCTCTGCACACTGGGCGGGGCGTCAGCATACAATAAGCATTCTAGAAAGTCTCTCGACATTGACATATTCTGGACTCCTCTGAATGTTGCTCCCAGTTCAAACCCAGAACTTGCTGCCTTGGTGTAAAATTCCTCACCCTCTAGAATCACTTCACACCTTGCGATGATGCTCTCTACGTCAACTATAGTTGTCTTCAGGTCACTAAGATTGGCTACAGATGGAGGAATAATTTTCAGATGACAATGCTGGATCCACGTTCCTCTGGATGCGTCGTGGCTCCTGAGCGTAAAGAGAGATTGATCTGGTGTCTTCTCCTCAACTGTCGTCTCCAAAGTTCCTTCGCAGTTTGAGGCAAACATGAATCGATCGAAGGTCAGTCCACTTAGAATCAGTGGATAGGGATCAGAGCTCATCGATCGAGCTGCAGCAAGAGCCGTCTCTGTGTAAGCAGCAGCAGGGACGACTACAGCACCCTGCAGGACGTGATCCTGAACCCAAGGTACCCGTGATGCATTCAGGTCAGCTCGCCATATCTTCACAGGACTTTCTCGAAGATAGAAGGTGTCCATTGGCTCTCCAAGGAGAATGTGGCGACCATCACCCGCAGGAAAGAGCAATTCCTCCTTTCCTTCCGAAGAAACATTCGTGCACTTTTCTCGCTGCCATGGGTAGTGTGGGACCGACACGACTCGGCGAAACGTGGACATGAACAAGCTATGGAACTTCGCTGGAATGCCACTCACATGAAGCCTCATCTGCGCCAACAGGAGATTCTCAGAATCGTTGGCCAATGTGGTGGTGTCTCGGGGCCGTAGTAGAGATGCAGTCGTGATGAATTTATCATCTGTAGCCTGAACGGCAGCCAGTGTTTCTCGGAGGGCCGGCAGAAGCGAAGAGTGAGGACCTATCTCGACGAACACACGGTAGCCATCTTTCGCAAGATTCTGAATGGATTCCATGAAGGAAACCTTCTGTCTGATATTCTGAAACCAGTACTCAGGAGAGTTGGCCTCCTCGGGCGTCAAATAACGCCCAGTCACAGTTGACATCATTGGAATCGTACGTTGCCGCTCTGCCGAGTTTTGTACCTTTAGAAACTTACCCACTTTCTTGAGGAAAGGCTTCTTTACAACCTCTTGCTGTTTGCTGTGAAAAGCATTGTTTACCTTAAGTACCACACGTTGTATGTTATCTGCAGTCAGTTCCTTAGCTATACCCTCTACAGCAGAGGTCTCACCAGAGAACACGATTTGGCCTGGGCTGTTGATAGCTGCAACATCAAGCACTTGCCCATGCTTTCTTTGACTGACGAATGTGAGAACGTCTTCAACACGATGTAAGACAGCCACCATCTTCCCAGAGCCACTGGTCTTACGCAGTTCTCTTCCTCTCCGGTATATGAGCTTGACTGCATGCTCCAGACTAAGTAAACCTGCTGCGTAGGCTGATGCGACCTCTCCTACACTATGACCAACCACTGCGTCTGGAACCACACCGTGCAACTTCCAAAGATCGACAAGACCGATCGCAACCGCAAAGAGGCAAGGCTGGCTGATTTCTGTTTGAATGAAGAGAATTGAACACCTATTAACAGGGTGCTAAACGAAATTGTATAAAAGCATGTTTTGCAAGACGATGGTATTCAAGATGATTTTTTTTGAAAAATCTTATTCACAAATATCACAGACCACGCTTACAATGAAAAGTCATCATGTTACCTGTTTGATTTATTCTCTCACGGTCCTGTTCCTCAGACAGCATGCTGACCAATGACCATTTGGCTCCACATTTCTGCAACAGCTTGTCGACAACCTACAAATTAAATAAAGAAACTTAATGGAAGGTACAATGTATTCGCCGGATAATTGCATTTCTATTAGCTCCAATGCTTTGTATTACTCTTCCAACTGCGAAAAAGACTAAGTATCCGGTTTCATACTCTTGCCGAACTCATTTGTGTTTCATAACTATCTGAATACTTGCATTTTTAATTAGCTCCAATGTGTTTTTTTTACTCTTCGAACTGCGAAAAAGACTAAGTATCTGTTTTCATACTCTTGCCGAACTCATTTGCGTTTCATAACTATCTGAATACTTTCTTTATTAAGCAGAACTATTATAAGCCAACGTACTGTGCTCACCTTCATCTTTGAAAAAAAGGCAGGGTGTGTATGCATCAGCTCTCTAGCCATGCCCCACCACTGAGTCCCCATGCCAGAGAAGACAAAAACAATCTGCCGTTCGGTGCCTGTGGCTGATGGCGCTACACCTTCAACAGACCGGTCCGAGGTCTGCTGAGTTTCAGCTTCAAGCTTCATTCGAAGTTGGTGGATCGCATCTTTCTTGGAGTTGATGGCGAAACCCATCCGGTGTGTGTGATGCTGTGAACGACAAGCGGCCGTGTACAGACACGAGAAGAAAGTTGCACCAGTCATCTGTTTGTCGTCGGTAAGAAAGTGGAGCCAATCTTTGACTTTCTGATGAAGAGCATCGGAACTGGATGCAGACAGCAGAAGGCAGCTCAACTTTTTATCCATCTTTATGAACTGACCATTTCCGTGGGGATTAGTAGGACCTTCAAGAACAATGTTAGCATTCGCTCCACCGAAACCAAAAGAACTGCAGGAAGCTAAGAGGCGTCCGTCTCTGTCTGGCCATGGTATCAGCTCGATTGGGACCTTTATTTTCAGCGCCTTGCAGTCGATGTTTTCGTTCGGTGTTTTAAAGTGAACGACTGGTGGTATCTTGCGTTGATACAGACACAAAGCGGCCTTGATAATACCAGCGACTCCTGCCGCACCTTCGGAATGACCCACATTAGATTTGACAGATCCAATGTAGAATGGAGGATGTTTGGGTCCTCGTCTGCGTCCCATAGCCTCACCCAAAGCACCTGCTTCGGTTGTATCCCCAACCTGTGTTCCTGTACCATGAGCCTCTGCGTAGACAATTTGATAAGGGTCCACTCTGGCGTTGCGACAAGCGCTCTTCACCAAATCCACCTGCGCATCGAAACTAGGGTTTGCAATGCCCGGTGTGCGGCCATCATTACTCAGTGCACCTCCTCGCAGTACAGCGTAAACACGATCACCATTCCTCAGAGCCTCAGACAACGGTTTCAAAACCACGACCCCGGCACCCTCGCTGCGTGAATATCCATCTGCCGATTGGTCAAAGCTTTTGCACTTCCCGTCTCCTGACAACATTCCAGCCTGACAAAACCCAATCGAGGTAACTGGTGTGAGAATCAAGTTGACGCCTCCAGCAAGAGCCATTGTACAAGATTTCTGCTTGAGTGCCTCACACGCCAAATGGATTGAATACAGGGAGGATGAACAGGCAGTGTCCACGGAGAAACTGGGCCCACGTAGGTCAAATTCGTATGAGATGCGGTTGGACACCATGCAGGAGTTGGTGCCCGAGTTAGAATATTGATTCATGTTGTGGAGTGGTTTAAAGGCAAATGATGAGTACTCCTGTGCCGTCACGCCCATGTAGACACCAGTCCTGGAACCTCGAATAGAGGAAGCTGGTATCCCAGCATTCTCAAGCGCCTCCCACGTGACTTCAAGAAGGAGTCTTACTTGTGGATCTAGATGAGCTGCTTCGTCTGAATCAAATGAACAGAAAAATGAATACGCACTCAAACGCTAATATTTGAGTCTAACGTCCAGAGACCAATTTGCCCTTATATAATTATAACATAATCAAATAATTATATTATTCTTATCTGAACACTCCATATGAAAATGTACATTTTTGAAGTCGTTTATATATTTCGTGTTTTCTTTATACAACACTATGGTACGTGAAAAGGTTTGACGTATTCAGGCCACAATCACTTCAGCTATAACCCGCCCGGACTGATAGACGACTACTATTTTAGCCATTATTATTGATGCAGATCCTGTTTTCTAAAGCGTTATCAATAATAAACATTGTGTAAATAATTTGACAAATACATAGCTGTTGACAAACAATCCGGCAAAAAACATTGGTTATCGCTCTGTTGTGATAGTCATAGCACGTCTAAATAAATTTATAAATATTAAACCTATTATTGTCCAACATATGTAATAAATACTTCGAAATTCGGCCACACATTAGATAGTTATCCCTGGCAACAATGCACGTTAACACATGCCGATACTTAGGTATTTGCACAAGTTATGAAATATGTGTGACGTCATCAAAAATGCAATTCTTGAAAACACATATTAGGGAAATTCCGATCGTCATGAAACTTAGTGGATAGCTAGATTATGGTACACGTATACATTATCCAAAATGACGTCACAGTGACGTCATCGGTTGTTTTTAATGATTTTTTTTTTAGTTTACAATTTCATTCCGCTTCCAAAATTTAACACTTTCTTTCATCAGATTGACTTCAAATTTGCTACAAACCAAGACCTCAATGCAAAAATATTGAATGATAAGTGTTATCAAGGTGACGTCATAAAGGTGCAATTTTCAAAGTCTCATATTGAGAAAACCAACAGTCCGATTGTGTTAAATTGCGTACGATGTAGTCCGAAACGTACGTGTTATACAAGTAATTTTACCTGAAGTCGTGATAAAATATCTCCGTGTTATATCATAAATTTGAACAAAAAGTTCAAAGGCTCTTTTAAAGACAAATAAGTTGGTTTGATATTGGACATTAGACATTCCTGTTCGTTTGTAAAGCGAATGTCCATGTTGCTGTTTGGATCATTACAACAAGTAAATGGCCATTCTTTATACAAACGATCAGCGTTGAAATACGCGCTGTATTCACACACACACATGGGTATAGGCTCATGCATACACCCTTGACTTACTGAAACCATAACTCCTAAAAGAAACGGCTACTGAACAAAGTAACTGTACCCCATGTACATTTAGTTTGTCTGCTTGCTGTAGAAACCAGATTTTTCTGCTTGTGGAAAAATTATATGTACGTACTTTTCGAATTCAAAACGACAGCAATTGCACTTCGGGCGCACTGACTCTGTCAGACATCCATTAAAACATGCGATTTAGGTGGCCGATTCGCTCGGCCAGATGGTATACGGGGCAGTCTATTTGCCTGTCACTCTGATTATTCATAAAGTAACTGCACAGCTAGTTGCTGTCAACTCTAGTGAATATTCAAACCAAACTTGAATGAAATTCACAAAAATTGTATGTAGGTACTTCTCAATATTCATAAAACCATTAATCAATCTGAAGCAGTGTTGGAGCAAAGGCTTTGACCCTCAAGGCCAAGGCCAAGGCTTTGACCCTCAAGGCCAAGGCCAAGGCCAAGGCTTTGACCCTCAAGCCTCGAGGCCAAGGCCAAGGCTTAACCCTCAAGGCCAAGGCCAAGGCCAAGGCCCTGTTCTATGAAATGACCACTAATATAGATCTAATTATAGTCACATCATCATGCAAGGGCGGATCCAGAACACAATTTGCGGGGGGGGGGCAAAGAAATTCTGGTCCCCAAAAAAAGTGGGTCAAAAAATTACGGCTTGGGCTTCGGGGCCCGCTTAAGGGCACCGAAAAAAATTTGGATTCGAGATGCTCTGTGGTGCGATTTGAGGCAATTTCTGACCATTTTAACCGATGTTTTTTGAGGAAAAGATGGTGGTGTATTCATTGCCTGCCTTTATTACGACGTCACATAAAAAAGGGGTTGGGAGGGGGGCATGGCCTCTTTTGGCCCCCTGGATCCGCCCGTATCATCACGAATTGCTCGTTACGAAGAACAACATTTCTTTACTTGCAATCAACATGCTCGCATAGGCCTACACCGTTTTATGACTGCATTGTGTCTATTAAAGTATAAGTTCAGGTCTTCAATATGGTTTAACTAAACAAAATAATGATTTACTTCTATATTGACACACAATTCTCCCAAGTGTAACAAAAGGGGGATTCAAGAAACTGATTTGGGAAATTTTTATTTGCTGGCCCAACTTGGTCAGAAATATCAGCATTATCTAAAACAGATACATGCAAATCTTTAGCACTTATCAGGGAGACATATAAATACAACCAATCAGATCTATTCCATAGTTATATGCAATTAAAGTGATCATCTCATTAGCCCCACAAGTGTACGGAATATTTTTGCAGCAAATCTACTACAATGGTAACAAAATGTGATGCTACAAAAGTGGAAGTGTGCCCAACACACAAATCTATAGGGTGCTTCCCTTCTCCATGGTAATACGATTAAAATGGTAACAGCAAAATTTCGAACAGATTTATCTGGAAAATGCACAAATCTATGGGCCTTGAAGAGCCTTGACTCAAAATTGCAAGGCCCTGAACCCTCAAGGCCAAGGCTTTTGCCCTCAAGCCTCGAGGCCAAGGCCAAGGCCCTAAAATCCAGCCTTAAGGCAGCCTTAAGGCCAAGGCCCAGCATCAAGGCACTACATCACTGATCTGAAGTTGATCGAATGTATAATCGACCGATAACCCAATTTTGGCTTGTGTAGGTGTGTGTGTGCGCCGGGTGCGCGCGCGCGTGCAACTCGCGGCGCGCGTGCAGCTTGTTCTTCACGCGCGGTACTGCAGGCTGATTGGCTAATGGTCATTTGTTTACTTCGTTTGCACGTGGCTAAATCAGGTCACCGCGTATTCGCTATAATTGTATGTGTATTCATTATACTTCCCAAACCTGTGCACGCTGTAATTGGCTGTATGTAAATGAAATGATATCAGAGCTCATTAAAGTTTTTCACCTCGCCCGTTCGTACTTGTTGTAATGTATTGGACATTAGATATGTAAATAGTTTTGTACAGTGAATGTCCATATTTTATTTAAAGTCCAGGAGGAGGCGTGATTGTGATCCCCCCCCCCCCCCGCCGTGAATCGCGCCGACGGATCCCACGAGACGCCCTTACAAGTTTGTCTGGTGATTCACGGACATTGGATATGCCCATAGCTTTGTATGGCGAATGTCCATATTTTATTTGGATATTCGACATTCTACATTCATTATTATGTTTGTATAGAGAATGTCCATATTTTCAGACAGGGGCCAAGTTCCAGCAACCATACTTCGAGAGTGCAGACTGAGACCTGAAAAACTGAAATATGTATGAAAAGGAACAAAGTCACGAGGAAAGACACTTCCGGGGAAGACGATAACAAGATCGCAGGAGCAAGACAAACCTCCATACTGGAACACACTTGGAAACGCCAAGAAACGACAAAGTCAGAAGTAGCGTCCCATCGAAGAACAGTTTACAGGATCCGTCAGAAAAGGTCAGAGCGTAAGAATATCAGCCCTGTAAAAGACGACGACGCTCAGTCTGACGGACCGGAACGGCTTCAAAAGAGAAAAGACCGATACAACCGTAAACAGCGTCAACGAAAAAGAAAGCACTGCCTCCTCTAAAGGGAGGGGTAAGGAAAAGTAATTAAGAGTATAGCCTAACATTAGTCAATGTGCTCTATGAAACTTATCTCCTGTAATGTGCGCGATCTAAGAAACTCATATTTATTTCTCATAAACTTCATTTACCTTTCTTTAATAATAGACATAATTTCCAGCGCTTTGAGTACCTAATTGTTGCTAGTACAATTGTAACACACATCTTGCTTGTTCTTTATCCTGGTTGGCTGAAACGCGGTCAAGTGAGATTCACTAATATAGGCTAGTGCATGAAACGCGTAAGCGTGAACTAGGCACACGTCGAGAAATCGCAAGCACATAATTTCCGGGAGTATAAAGTGCCCGATCGGGTACTATACTCATTTTTTTTAACTTGTAATAGCGCCCGCTGACAAAACTCAAACTCAAAAAGTTAATCTAGGGAAACTGAAAGCGTCCCTTTAATTGTTGAATCGCTTACAGTTTAATTGCTCGTGAGTTAATTGTTGAATTAAAACAGTTGAATGATAAAACCCTGAACGGTTTTATTTATTTTATATTTAAGACGGAGGTGAGTTATAAAACACATATGGATTGGCATAAATTGGTCCCTAGTGCATGTCTATGCCCCCTTGGGCCTGTGAGTGACTCGAAGAGGGATCTATTTCTATAAATAGGACCCTCTCCTGGTCACTCACAGTCCCTTGGGGCGCATAGACGTGCACTTGTGACCTCATTGCCAGCCTATATGACAAGACGTTCTTGCATCAAGAAGTCAACACGTACTACTTTCTCTCATTAGTCCAGACCAAACGGGATTTATGAAAGGTCGATTTATTGGCGAAACATCAGACTCATGGAGGAAATTATTCGCCAGTGTGAAAAATGTAACATTACAGGTGTCGTGCTTTCATTGGATTTTAAATAGGCTTTTGACTGTATGGATAGGAAGTACGTTTTGAAGGTCCTGGAAAACATTAATATTGGTCCTTCCTTGAGAAAGTGAATTGTTTTACTGTGTATAATGATTCCATGAGTTGTGTAATCAATAATGGATGGGTCTTACGTTATTTCAAGCTTCACAGAGGAGTAGAGCAAGGTTGTCCGCTCTCGCCTTTACTCTTTATACTTGGTGTGGAAATATTAGCGGCTAAGATCAAACAGAGTCCAATAATTACAGGTATTTCATTGCCAAAAAGGGATTATCCTATCAATACAGTCACCCTCACTCAGTACGCAGATGATATGACTCTTTTTTTTGTCAGTAGCGATCATTCTTTTATTCCTGTTTTTAGTTTTCTAGAAGAATTTCAATATGTGTCAGGCATGTCACTTAATAAAAATAAGACAGAGGCAATGTGGATTGGTAGAACAAGACTGGACCATCACATTGACGTTAGTTGGAAGACAGATATCACCACCTTCGGTTTGTGTTTTCTAGCTCCACTCCAGCTCAATACATTGAGCAAAATTGGGCAGGGAGACTAGCCAAAATGAGGAGTATTTATAAAACGTTGGCTATGCAAAAACTTACTATGAAAGGTACATTTATCGAAGTGAATTAATTGTTTTTCTCACGGATTCTCTACCCAGCTTTGTCTTTAATTGTTCCTGAGTCTGTTCAAAAACAGAAAAGTTAATGTATTTTCAAATTCGTTTGGGATGGAAGCGAAAAGTACAGAGAAACAGCATAATAGGTGCATATGACCAAGGTGGTTTAAATATGATTGATGTGAAACATGTAATTAATACCTCACATTTGAAATGGGTTGTAAAAAGACTAGCAAATGATGATATTCATCCCTGGAAGAACTGTGCTTTGTTTGAATTTGATGAACTTGGGTTAGATCTCTCCGTATTTCATAGTAATTGTAATGCCAAAGTTTGCTGTGCTGTTCCGATTCTTATACCCTTGCGCCTTTCTATAAGAACATCATTTTGTTAGAGCTGGAAGTCAACCCACGGGCAGAGGCTGCAGACATTAACGAAATACCGAAGCATATAATTTGGAACAACCATGCAGTCACATTCAAGGATAAACCAATTTTTCTGGGAAAAAAATGGATCTCGGCTTGTGTCATTTCCGTTCATCATTTTTATGACAACCAGGGCAATTTCAGGAAGAAACTTACTGACAAAAAATTCACCACCCCTATAGCAGAGACTTTCTGTAAAACAAATACCCCAAGCATAACTTTGTCTGGGATGTAAAGGGAAAAGGCTCGATTATTGCTGTCCTTGATAGTAGGTCATTTTCAAATAATTGGAAAATCATACATAATTGTTACCCCACGCAAGTCTGGCTTTACGAAAGAAAGAAGAGCAATTCGCAAATGTGTACATTTGGTTGTATGTAAATGTACATTGAGCACTTGTTCTGGTCATGTAAAGCGGTTAAGCCCCTTTAAAACGAAATCGAAAAGATTGCAGCTTCGAAATATGGTAAATCAATCACTCTATCAGTGGAGGATATTCTTTTCGTATGAAACACTTAATAGCTACCGGTAATTAAATACTTTAATTAACATAGGTAAACAGACAGGGAACCGTTTAAAAGAGCAGAAACTCGAACTTCGTCATGTGAAGTAAACTTGTTTTCATGTAAAATTAGATGTGCCCGTAGAGACAACGATTAACTGTACATACTGTTATTTATTTGTTGATTGAATCTTTGAATAAAATAGAAAAAATACATATCTTCAGTTTCGGCATCCACCTTTAGATGATGGTCCTACAGCGCAAACCTAATTTGATTTAAATAATGGTGTTTGACTAAGCAAAGTTTAAAGCTAATCGGATTTGAAATAATTCCCCAAGTGGCTTGTACAATAAAAATGTGTAGAAAGCCTATGAGGAAAAGTGAAAAAAAAATATAAATAAATAAAAAAGGGAACAAATCTTAACAAAAACAATAGCTAATTGTGGGGTCACGTAACCTCCATCCATGTACCGGCTGCCCAGATACAAGGTTATATTTAGACCCATGTTGTTGTTTACGTGTGACCTATTCAAATGTGGCACTTATTAACTCAATGTCCCTTCACTCTTAAAACAAGTAGGTCCATAGTTTTAGAGGGTTTCTTCTACATTTTCTTATTATAGTTGTATAAGAATTACAATTATGTGTATAGTCGAAGTTCTTTTGAGCATATCATGTCAATTCCGGTGTAGTTAATCCGTAACAGAATTTGTTGAGGGTGCAATCATATTTTAGAGGCACTTGGTGATGTGTCCGCATCGTGCGGTAGCGCGCGAAACGGGCACTGCTTGTCTTCCAACTTTTGGACGGCAGTCACTTATTTTGTAGCCGGGAATTTCTCGGTGAGATTTCACCTAATCATATGCTGAGAGGGAAGGTGGGCGCCTCTGGAACCTGTGGTGAATGTCCTTTTTATCATAACTTTGCGGGAAACTTGCGTTTTTGTGACACTTTCACTCACGAACTTTCCAATTTTGCAGCGTCGTCGTCAAAGCTACAGTCGTGCATATTCCCACACCCACCCACCCACACTTAGCATATGGGGTTTATGGGGTACCTCTTTTGTTTGACCCTAATCCCCTTCTTTTGTTCTCCTTTGTCTCCTTAGAAATCGCAAAATACATAGCGCTACGGCTATGGGGTACTTCAATTTCTAAAGACAGACTTGCGGGGTACCATTGTCCCTATTTTTACCCTTTGTTCCCGGTACCCCATAAGTGCCAATATGTAAGAGCACGTTGTACTTGTATGCACAGCGCATGAATTCGCGTTGTGTCTGGGTGTGTGTGTGTGTGTGTGTGACCTTTGACCGCCATTGTGTGTACACATTCACCATGTATTTTGACCGTAGTTTGTCTTGTCTTATTTTTCCGTAGGCAATATGTAGGCGCGGTCTACTGAGACCTTCATTTATTGCACCTTGGGATCTTTTCCGACCTGGTGATCTTTATCATATTGATTCTTTTTCAGCGATCTTTACTGGATCTTTTTCAGCGATCTTTACTATACGGGATCTTTTGTATTCTGATTCTGCTGATGATTGAATAAATTCTCCATTAATTGTTGAAGATTTAATCTGGTGATGCTGTGTAATTCATCTAGATAGCCTCCAAGTTCCAACACACTTATCCTAATTTAGTTTGGGATCGAACTCCCTTCATCATGCTGTGACACCGCAGTACTGAAATCACTTCATAATAAAGGAAAAACATCTTAACGAAAACAAAAACTGTTCCCAATTGAAATTGGGAGCAGCTAAAAAAGTCCAGGCATGCTAATTGATTTTAAACTTTTCGTATATTTCAAACTGACAACATTTATGATCATGAGACAAGATAAGTTTGCGGTAGCACCATGGGAAGAAATCTCTTTTCTGAGTATGTGTGGTTCTGAAAAGAACCGGAGGGACTCAACGTTTCGAACAGTATGCTCTGCCCGTCATCAGGAGAAAGGAGAATGTTCATGGTCACACGTAAGTTTTTAACACTATAAATATACACACGTACAGCTGCTCAGCTGCTTTATTCCTTAAAAGAGTTTCTAAAGTTGCTATACAAATTACCGAAACTCTTTTATCATGTAAGACTTGATAAGGGTCTCATCTCAGTGTAACTATCGACTGACGTTGAACTGTTTGACCAAAAGAACTTACCGGGTGGCATATGGAAAAACTGCCTGTCGAACATGTACGGGTCCTGAGAGATGTAGCCACCGTTCTTGATGTACATCTTGCCCGCCCTCTTCTCTCCAGGACTTAGGAAGTAGCTGGCATCGAAGCGATCTGCAGGTACCGACGTGGTGCAGTCCAACCCCTTCACCAACATCTCCCAGAACTTCCTGACGTTGTCGATCCCGTTGCCATAGCGACAGCCTATGCCCACTATGGCCACTTTCTGGTTGTTGCGGGAGAGTCCCGCGTCCATAACGCGATCCTGAATCCAAAAAAATGGACGACAGGAGTTAACTCCATGGAAAACCACAAACGATACTGCATCTAGTTTTTATTTATTTATTTATTTATTTTCTATTTTTTTGTATTAGGGCAGTCACTGGCGGGCACCAGACTAATCCTAAATGCAAACGTATTCAAAGTTTTTTGATATGCAAATGATCCAATACCAGGGCGAGAGAGCATGTAGTGGTGGGAGTGTACTGCTCGACACCTACAGAAGCATTTTTGGGACACGACTAATATATCCTGGCTTACTATTCCACGGGCGGGTTACTATTTTCTGGGCGGGGAATTTTCCGACATTTTTGGGTGATGGACCGACAGGTCTTGTTGTCTGTTAAAGCCCTTGTTTTCGTTATTTTTTTTCTTAGTTTGTCTTCTTTTTCAGTAGTCGGTCCAAAGCATTTGTACACGTTTCCTTTCTTCCCGGAGTTTTGGACACTTACATCAATCCGATTGCCTTTATACTTGCTACACAAGTGGAACAACATCCGTAGATAAATGCCGAACATTGACGTCATCATGTGTCATGTGGCATCACATTAAAGGTGCATTTTTTGAAGGCCTTTATCCACAGAACAACCCGTCCGATTTGCTGGTGACTTGGTACCTTGACCGGGATGTGTTACAGATTAAAATGGAAGTGACGTCATGATGACCTCAGCACATGACATGTGACTTCACTTTAAAGGTGCATTTTTTTAAGGCGTAATTTACATTACTACAGTTCTGATTTGGTTGTATTTTGGTGTATACCTAAGCTGGAATGTATTAAACATGAAGACTGAAATGACGTAAGAACGCGTAATCACATGACATGTGGCGTCACATTAAAGGTGCATTTTGTAAAGGCCTATCTCTACAGAATTATTTGACCGTTTTGGTTATGTAACTACAATCCCGGTCAAGATGCTTGGGACACTTCCTTAGCCTCCCACGGTCACCCAGTCCCCCGCTCCCATGGTCAATGTTGTTCACTCCAGCTGACCATGGAGCACACACCGTGTTATGAAAGAAAACATTGAGCGGGGCCCGGGGGGTCGGGACCTAGCGATATTTGGCCAGAAATATCTTAATTTCTTCAAAGTTCAAAATGTGAATGACATGCCGTTGGGGGGGGGGGGGCTGTTTTCCTAAAATTTGTTTCCAAAATATGAAATGGCGGCCGACAGTTGAATGAAAGAACACATATATATTTGGCCAGATGAAGAATTGAAAAAACGACATATATTTTGTAGTGTACGCTAACACGTATGGGTGATAAACAAGGTATACTTTTCACTTCCCGAGTGCTGCGGGAAAACAATCCACATGTATTTATCTCCGGTGAGATTCAAACCTCTGATCCCTCCACTGTTGAGCACATGTCTCAACTGACAGACCATCGAATGTACCGGCGACATTATTAAAAGGCCATGTTGCAATCGTATAAAATCACAACGTTATTGTAGCATTTTCAAGAAAGCATGTTTTACTATCACGCTTTAAAGCGGCAAAGCACTGTTTTGGGTTTGATTTTGCCCCTTTTTTCTGTTTTTACCCCCTTTTTATTCCATCGCAGATCCCATAGACTTTGTACACGCTTATTAACAGCGGCATTTTTAACCTTAAACAAATCCGTATAGTAACCTATTTGAAGACCCCAAAGTGAGTTTGTGTGCCAAAGATTGACGTCATGATAATCACGTGTCACGTGATGTCATTTGAAATTCTAAGACCCTATATCTGAAGAACTGTAAGTCTGAATGGGTTGAAACTTGGTATGTAGATAGACCGTAGATACATGTAGATACATGACGCCGTCATGTATTAAATTACAAGCATTGAAATGTTCTAGATTTTATCTTAAAAAAATCAATATAAAATCAACCGTGGGAAACCTGAACTTGACTTTAGCAGGAATTGGTACAATAATCCAGGATTTCATTTGATCTCGTGTTTGGCAAATCATGTGACACTTCCTTTTGATCCAAAATTCGTGCCGTATAATTTGAAAGTGGAAAAAGATGTGTTGAAAACTTCTTTTCAACGATTTTAGTTTCTGGCTAGGTTGTACTTTACAAAAGATTACCAATGATGTCATAACATGTTAGAGCTACCTCTAGCGGTAGGTTGAAAAATGTTTAATATAATCAGTTCATGTGTACGCTATATATATATGAAAACCTTTATGCAGACAACATCTGTGCGCCCGAAAAAAAAATGATGACGTCATCCGACCAGAAATTTAAATAAAAAGACCTTTTTCTGCTGCTGACCTACAATGTACACTGTGTACATTTGTACATTGTGTACGTGCTGTGCATGATGTTTTCAAGCAGAGGCATTGTCATCCTGAAATTTTATGTTTGAGCTGGGCATATTCAAGCCCACTTATTGCAACGAAATATCGAAGTGTTTTAGACCCACCCTTAGAGTGACCTTTAAAGCAAAAATTAATATTAAACTCTCAGGGTTGATTTTTCAGAAACATTCAAAGGAAAATAAGTTTTCCTTGTAAAATCCGGTCTGAGGACGTCATCATTTTTTTTCGCGCACCGGTATTGTCTGCGTTGAAGTCATCATATACACAAATTTTGAAGTGATTACCGCAAACTTCGCCACAGACATCGACTGAAAATTAATTCAACCTGCCGCTTGAGGGCGCTCTTACGTGTTATGACATTTTTGGTATTTTTTTTTGTGAAGGACAACCTAGCACAAGCAATTTCACCTTTTTTTTGCCAATTTCAAATTATAAGGCATTCCGAGCTACTCTCGGCTTGGACCGGAAGAAGGGGTCACGTGATTTTGCTTACAGAGATAAATTAAAGATCTTGGATTATTCTATCAATTCTCGCAAACGTCAAGTTCGGGTATCTCACGGCTGATTTTATACTGATTTTCGAAGATTGAACCTATTAATCTTTAACGTGACGTCACCTGACCCATGATGACGTCATGATAACGTCACTCTTCGGGACACAACTATGCTATAAAGACAAAACAGTGCTTACCAGTTTTTGTTTTTTCTAAAATTTCGGACTCTTGTCCTTCAGAGTGTAGCAAAGTTGCAAGGTTGCTACTTCATTTGTGCTACCCAGCACCCCATTTTGTTATATGATATAAGGACTATGCCTATGCTGACTTTGAATGATGTACGACTGTTCACGACCATTATGTCCGTTTGGTCGATTACGTCCGACAACAGATTTTATGCGATTTTATGCGACAGTGATTATGTCCGACCCATTATGTCCGACGGCCGATTATGTCCGACCCATTATGTCCGACGGCCGATTATGTCCGACCCATTATGTCCGACGGCGATTATGTCCGACCCATATTGTCCGACGGCCGATTACGTCCGACCCATTGTGTCCGACCTACGATTGTGTCCGACCCATTGTGTCCGACGGCCGATTATGTCCGACCCATTTTGTCCGACTGCCGATTATGTCCGACCTATTGTGTCCGATGGCCGCTCGATTTTGTTTAACTTGCATGTCTCTACCCCGTAGTGTGACAATTCGGCTCTATTGGATACCAGGAATCCGATTTTCTCTGACCCAATTTTGTCCGGTAAACTCTGAAAGTTTGTTGTCATTATAGTTTGGCGTCCTATGAAATTTGATTTATTTCATCCTCTATTTTGTGCTCTAATTACTCTCACCAGTGACTTTTCAATGTCATTATGTTACTTTATAAAGGAATCTCTTCATAGAGTGCCGAGGACTGCGTTGACCAGAGGCTAGCTTTTTCTATACCATAAAGTCGGTCCTACATGGATGATTGCGTCGTATGGGGAAATACATGTACATTTTGTACATGCAATAATATAATGTATAAAACAACTCAGTGGAAGGAAAAACGGTTACAGATATACGGCCAAAACCACTGGACTCCCTACCTCTTGCCATGAACTAAAAATTCTTCGAAGCCATTGGATCCCAATCGGATGATCCGAGAATTCGTGGTCATTTTGATGAACTGAGTGATATCATGCTTGCATGTTCCGTGTTGCCTTGTTGTTTGGAGCGGGATCGGCCATTGCCGGACTTTGTCTGGCACCGTGGTATTAACAGTGATAATGCGTGGATACTTCTTCCGTTGTGTGGAGCGGGATTGGAACTATACTTTGCCCGTGCCTAACGGCAGGCAGTCTGGCACTGTCTGGTCGCATCGCGGTGTTTGCTCGGCGCGCGCTTGGACAGTGCGAAGGTCCGGGGGGTTGTAACTTTTGGTTATTAGTGGTAAAAACCTGATTCAAAAATCAAGTTGTTGTTTTAATGGGGATTCCTATGATATTAAACATTTTGATAGGTTTGGAAAATAACATTTTATAAAACATGCTAAAAGTAAATAATGTAAATCTTACAAAATAGAAACTCCAAATTTGGCCATTTAAATTGTATCTCCAATGAGGTTGAATCAAACGCCATTGATTTTGTTGTGTAATTCGCTTTTCAGTGATACAAAACTTGAGATTTCTTTCTTTAAAAAAAAATTCGCCGGACTCCCTAAGAGGAAACACATTGCAAGCTGTAAATTTGTAAGCCAGGCACTCCAAAACTCAGTGAATTCAACTAAAAAGATGTTAAAACTCCAACATAATCTTAGCCTTGTTTTAGTGATTCATATCTTATTACGTGTTTTTCTGGCCTCGGAGGTGGTGGCCTCGGCCTTGGCCTCGGCCTCGCGGTTGTGGCTTCGGCCTCGGCCTTGGCCTCGGAGGTTGTGGCCTCGACTACAACACTGGTAAAGATCTGCATATTTTTCATTTAAACGGAAGGGCACAATTTTCAAAGTGAGAGACCTAAAGTTAGAGATAATCTTGGAAGATAAGAAGAATATCATACAAAAAAGGTCACGTATTGTTAGGTTGTGCGTTTACATTTTTTTAATGGATGTGAGCTTAAATCAGGAGTGTGGTTTCGTTTTGGAATATACAGAGGTGAAGGGAAAACTGTTGTTGCGAAAATGTGTAGGTAC